CCCCTGGCGGGCCACACGCGAGTCACCCCGCCTTGTGTTCGACACATGTGCTCTAGAACACAAAGTCATTCACCACCCAGCATTGTCACTGCAATTTCACAGAAAATAATTTTTTTTCTAGTTAAAGTTTGCTAATTTTATTGCCACACTATGATCCTGAATTGTCCAGGAACACTGAGATTTTAAACTCTTGATTTAACATTGTTAAAACATCAAAGCCACTTTATGATCTTTTAGCAACTCCAAAGCAAAATTTAGGATAAGGTCTCAAAACAAATTTTATTCCTAGGCATTTATTTATTTATTTATTACAAATCTTGACAGCAATACTGATAAATTTATTCCTTTCTCTGAAGCCCTGTAAAAAGAAGAGAGGATTTGTTCTCTGTACCGTGATCGTCCGCCCTTCTGTAGAGGTGATTCCAAGGGACTCTGGGTCTGTCTGGGAGGGACTGCAGGTAGTTCCTAGCCTTTGCGTTAATGATGCAGTTCAGATCTTCTTGAGATGGTGATCCAAGAACGCCTGCGCACGTGGAAGAGTTTCATCCTCACAGCTCAATGCTTTAGTATCTTGGCTAAAAGAAAAGCAACAACAACCCTCTCTCACCCAGTATGTGGTTGAGCTGGTCCAAGTAGTGTTTCCCAGGAAAGATGGGCTTGTTGGACAACATCTCAGCCAGGATGCAGCCCACTGACCAGATGTCAATGGACTTTGAATAGCCCTGAGTCACAAACACATACAATCAAACTGTGCATGAAGACAGTCAAAAAAACCATTTCCTATGAGCTAGTTCCAGTGGTACCTTTGAGTTGAGCATGATCTCTGGAGCTCTGTACCAACGTGTAGCCACATACTCCGTCAGAAAACCAGTGTGGTCGTGTTCAGGATCGGCTATCCGTGCCAGGCCAAAGTCACAGATCTGAGAAAGACACACAAAACTCTTTTCAAACACACAGAASACCCACGTCCTACAGCTTTAAACCTGTATAATCAAAACAGAGACTCTGGAAAGCCAAATCAACAGAGACTGCATTAGCTGCTAGTGGGGTTAGCGACCGCTAAAACAAGCCCCAACAGTCAACAAYGTAGCTTAGCTTTTTGTTTTTTAAATGTTACGCTGACCAATAAGTGACAGAGAACTTGATCCCTTTAATAAAATATACCATTTATATCATGGCAGTTAAACAGGAAGTGCCATAAATAAGCTGTAATGTTTGGGGGTCATGTAAAACACAGCCACAGGAATGTTATAAGAACACGTTTTGAATGGTTCATATCAACCAGCCGCTTRGACGTTAACATTTTCTAACGTACGTTTGCTTTGTATATCTTTACAAAGGTAAACAGATGTGAAACAAAACGGCACATTTGCACCGTGGAGCTCCAGTGATGCTGCAGTGTAGTTTTATTCTCTCCTGGAGTAGGTATTTTAGCAGAAAAGCCTCAGCAACACGTGCCACGGCTCACATAAGATCAGCTAATCCAGGGATTGATGGCTGGCTGCCGACAGTCGTACGCCACAGCACCTGATGGGTCTGAGAGGTTCCTCCACCGTAAAGTACAGCTTTGGATTACTCGTAATGACCAGCCAAACACTGGTCAGCTTTCAAAATAAAACTTTGCAACACATTCGCTTTAATGAATCTGTGATGGTATTTTTTACAGCGGTTTGCTGTAGAACCAAGAATACCATTTCAATTTACCCTGTTTATGTGTTTTTGTTGTTTACTTAGAAAAGGGAAGTGGATGTAAACTATACAAACAGCTGGCCTTTTGCTACAATAAAACCAACTTCCATGCCTCAGTGTTGCAGAACCAGAAACAGGAAATGTGATTTTTCTTTTTTATTTTAAAGAGAATCTGACTAAGTTTGTACATGKCATTCCCCTGCTAACATACAACAAATCCATCAGCGGGCTTCCAATTATTTGACAGCTGTAATTTTACCAGTACCAGTCCTTTATTACTAGCTAGACTCATTAAAAGGAGCTATGATGACAGCTGACAGCAGGCACAAACAATGCTTTCCCAAAATATAAAAACAGCTTTTTAAACTCCACCCCCAAAAGAAAACAAACAAACAAAAAAACACTTTTCCATGAATAACTCGACGAGACTGATCTTCCAGTATTTACCTTGAGGTCACAGGTGGTGTTGATGAGCAGGTTGGAGGGTTTGAGGTCGCGGTGCAGCACGTTGGCCGAGTGAATGTACTTGAGGCCTCTTAGGATCTGATAGAGGAAGTAGCAGATGTGGTCGTTGCTCAGCTTCTGAGTCTTCAGCAGCTTGTACAGGTCCGTCTCCATCAGAGTCTGCACGATGTAGCTGGGTAGGTGCACGAGTCAAGACAGACAACCAAACGTCTGACAGTCTAACTAAAATCTTTGGGCCTGTGTACTGTTGTTGCAAGCTTAAAAATAACATTAGTACCAACATATGTACCAAACCATGACTTAGAACCTTTAATATCCTGAAAAGCATTTTTACTTCAGAAATAATAATAATAATAATAATAATAATAATAATAAACTAGATTATGGGCTACAATGAACTGGTTGTAGTAGCAGCAGTATCTTTATTTTCCTCTTTAGTAATTCATTAAGTATGCGCGAGCCGATTAGAGGTTTTTAAAAAGTGATGAAACCACTCTGCTCAAGAGCTGCCAGCATCTTAACGTAAAAGGCAACAATGTTCAGCTGTCTGGCTGCTAAGTGATCACTCCCTGCCTCTCCTGATTTTCCAAATGACACCAGCTGAAAGTGATGGCACATCTCTGAAACGAMGGTTCACAAGCAGTGAAAGGAATCGCCTCTAATGATCAATATGCTGTTTTCTAGCGAAGCATCTGCTGCTGCAGCTGAATCAACTTTCAAATGCCGTCACAGATTTCACTTTTTAACTCCGAACATCCTCTCAAAGTAGCAACAGAGCGGATCCGAAACAAAAAAAAACTGGGCAAATTAAACAAGACACAGAAATAAAAGAAACGCTCACATACTTTTGCATTCTTCCAGGGAACAATGCAGCTTTTCACGAAGAAAGTGCCAGAGCGGCTCTCAGTGACGGCAACTCTCAGGCTGGCTGTGCCCACACATTACTGACGAGCTCTGCTGCGAAGGCTTCGCACCGACCCGAGCTACAATCAAGCAGCTTAACCAAAAAACRAGGGTTCTGCTTCTTCGAGCCGTGCGCAAAACACAGAACGGTTAAACTCTGAAGAACACATTTGAGATAAAGCGGGCGAACACTTCCTGCGACGCAACACAAGGATACACGTCTCTCATGTCGTCGATGTGCCTCGCCCGGATGATGTCGTTGATCCCGATGATGTTCTCGTGGTTGAAACGCAGCAGGATCTTGATTTCCCTCAGGGTGCGCTGGCAGTACGTCTGGTGCTCGAACGGGCTGATCTTCTTGATGGCCACGCGTTCCTCCATGACCGCGTCCATGGCAGAGCTGATGCGAGGAGGGAAAGAAACAAGTGTCAAGTTACATATACACCATGACGCAGTGAAAACCAAAAGGGCGCTGCTGCAGGCCATCTCTAAAGAGGAGGAAACGTAGATGTAGGGGTCTGAGCCGTGTTAGTCCTTGTTAGGGAACAGGAGACATCAACATGCTGGTTGAACTGGACATGTTCCCACAAGTTCTTCAGCCGCTTAAGCTGAAAAGAACAAAGTGCTGGACATTACATTACGGTCAAAACATCTGGTTTCTGTTGCACATCATGCTTTTCAAAGTCCTAAAGCAACCTGGCAATGTTTACAAACAAGCTGCAGATATGTGGTGCCAACTGATGAACACAGATCAGACAAACAACAGCACTTCAGCAAACTCAACTAAACMGGCGTTTCCTGTTTGTCATGGATGTGTGGGCATGAATTAGCATATTCACTCTGCACTTCTTGTGTTCTGGTTGAACAATGACAGCGGATATGACAGTGAAACAAGTCCACACAAGGCGGAACATCAGTGATACAAACAGGAAAAGGCCTTGCGACAAGTGAAAAATTATGACTCTTTTACATTTTCTTCAGTAGATTGAATAAATACACGATGGGGGCRGGGTGGCTGCAAACATCCAAAAATGTTTAGGCAGATTTGAAGTGTGTCATCATGCAGAACATTTCTGATCTGATAAGTAAACCACGTCCTGCACAATCACTCCCAGTCCTGTTTCCTGTGCAGCTCATAGCCACGCCTGTAGCAGCTAACCTGCTAATCACAGACGGGCTGCTTTATTATATACATTTAGTAAACAAAGCATTGTTAGCAGCTCAAATCAAACAAAAAYAGTTCGAACTCACCACACCATTCCGTACGCCCCCTCCCCGATGTAAGCCAAGTTCGTGTAGCGGGGGCCCACGTCAAACGCCTGTCCCCTCACCGTCTCGATGCGCCTGCCGGGTTTCGAGGACGCCGAGTCGCCCCGCGAAGCTCCGTCTTTGCCTTCGGCCGCTTCCGAAGAAGCGCCAGCGGCAGCGGCAGCCTGTGCGCCGCTGGAGTTCGCGGCCTGGGCCGCCGCATTGCTCCTCTCCATTTCTTCTCTCCGAGCCGCTCCCGCTCTCAGACGGTGTGTTCAAGCCGAGGGACCACCGCCGCTCTCCGTGCTCTCAAATCCGCTGTTCGAAGCGGATCGTGTGGCGCAAAGCGACTCCCCGACCAGCGGTCTCTCTYTCTTTTTTTCTTCTTTTACTACCAGACGGATTGTTGGTGTGAGAGCCCGGATTTGGTCTCACTGCACTGAGCGTCAGTGCACGAGCCAAACAACTACGGGAAATACAGGTGCGTTGGATATGTTGACAGGGACGGCTTGTTTGGGCGGGGCAGTTTAATGTGGACTGCAGCCACGAGTAGGCGGATCGGAAAATGTTGTTTTTAGTCAGGACGTTGTAACATATAATCAAACCGCAAAACCCATGTCCATTATACAATAATACGAGTAGCAATTATGGCTTTTTACCATTTACAAAGACTGTTTTGGATAGATGAAATGTTCATTTTGATTAGGAAAGTATGAGTTGTAGATATTTGTTTCGAACAGCCCGTCTAATATGTGGTAAGTTTGCTTGCTTTATTTCATCGAAGGATGGCGGTTGCCGTATTTTTTATTTTTATATAGTTTATATCATATATGTTTATTTTTATTCATCATTTTGCGATTTGGTGGTGTCACAAAGTTGCACAACCAGTGAAACCGTGGAAACGACTGCGCCCTACGGTACGTACACGCTTTCGTCTACGTCACCACGTAAGGTGGTGCACTTCCTGGACTTGCGGTGCTCATTAATCAATACAGCTAAAAGGAATGATATTCGTTTTGACGAGAAGCTGGGCAGGCTCGKTTCGTTTGGCTTTGACTCTCTTCGGACTCCCATATACATTCTGTACCTCCGGGATATTAAGGTATGAGCAAGAACATAAACTGTAAAGGTTTACATGGTGTAAGTTAGACCTGTTTTGGATGTCGACAGGTTAACGCACTTGTTTTGTAATGTATGTATTATATTACCTGCATGGAGCCGGTAGTCCTGTCTGCTGTGAACTGAGCTGCATGAAGGAAAACATGTTCAGTGTATGGAATGATAAAGTCTTATCCACTCTTGTGTCTTCTTCAGGCCTGGGATCTCTTGCTCATTTCCTCCTCCCACCAGAACCAGTGTAATTACACCATTCACTGCCAGCTACTGTAGCCTTTACACGACCAGTACCAGTTCAATGCCATCCTCAAAAGCACCACACGTAAAGTCCAGAAGCCCCTTGTATCCGGGGTCCAGCRTCCAGCGCTTTCCTGTACCTGATGATAAGGTGGACTGGAGTCAGGCGTGGGACCAGTATGATCCGGTCAGCTACACCCACCCTTCAGTTCTGAATAAGCCAGTCTGGGCAGATCCTGATATTGGGTACGCTTTAATCCAGACTGAGTGCATTTCTGATGAAACGATGAGTTGAACAAGTTAGAGAATGAAATCTTAGAAGTTCTGAGTGTTAGAAGATGTTCATAAATATTTGATTTGTCTCTACATCCTGGTAAAAAAAAAACATTTATTTCAGCATCTGCTCTTTTAACAGCTCGTTCTCTCCGAAGTTTAACGCTGTGGACGGTGCTGTGGACAGGACAAGCTTTGAGGGAAGCTACCGAGTGGAAAACGGAAAGCCACTGTAAGTTACTGAATAGAAAAAAAATGCATTTTTATTTCAAACTTTATTCATTTATTAAAATAACAAAAGTAATTCTATGTACAATAAAAAAAGAAAATCCAAATAAAATGAGATGAAAGGTGGCAGAGAGAAGAAAAAATCTTATTATATCTGCCCCTTTTTCCTCAAGTATAAATTCAAACAATAATGATCTTCARTTAACAAAACAAAAACATCAAATCTTTCTAGAACAATGAATTATATGGGAACAGATTGTATTGTTTTGTAGCATTTTCCTGCATATAAATAATCATTTCTGATTAGATTTCACTTGTTCCTATGACAACGGCTCAAAGAGGAAGAAAACCCCCACTTTAACTTCAGACTATTTCTAAAGACTTTTGCAYGGAACTTCCTTTGTGGCTCGAATTAACATCTCTTACACAAAACCCCACCAGATGTCCTGACGCCTTACTGTTAATAGATAAGAATTGCCGCATTCTTGTTCAGAACCCCACAAGTTCTGTTGCTTCCATCCCCCATAAGCACAGGACAACAAAAGGGTAAAGTGAACGTTTGTCCTGGTGACAAACAGGTGCTCAGGCGTAATTTGATTCTTATCCTTGTATGCGATTTGGTAAACKATTTTTCTCCCTAATTTAACTAGGACCCCCTTAGTTAAAACCTCAGCTAAAAGCAAAACTCACCTCACCTCACTCCAAGCCTCAAACTCACCTCTCAGTGTTTATTTTATTTGTTTGTTTGTTTGTTTATTCACTTGTGATTGCAAACTCTGTCAGTTTTACCTGGTTTAACTTCATCACTTCTTACTCACCATAGTTGTAAATACATTTAATCTGTAAATAAATGGCCCGTGGAGAACGTGCCAACATAAGTTAATGTCACTTTTGTGTCTTGATAAAGTATTATTGGTTCTGATAAGGACAAGAACTCATYAAACGATTTTGGGTACATTTATTGTGAGACTGAAGTTACAGGTTTTCGTCTCTTTCCTGGGTTAACTTTTGACCAAATTAAGAACGTGGTGCCTCGAGGTAAGATAATTTGTGTATTTAAATAATTCACAAATTATCCATTTTAGAATATACCCAAAACCCCTACAGTTTCATATTTTTTAAACAATTTTTACGTTTATCTGACACTTAATAATGCTTTAAGCTGATAGCATTGTCTGTTTGCTTTTGCACTGTACAGAGCTGTATCATGGATCTTTAACTTATTTCCCTCTGGGATCAATAAAGTATTTTTGAATTGAATTTAACAGTAATGCACAGAAGCAGACAGGACAGAGTCATCTTGTGATCACTTGTTCTATCTGCCTAACATGAGGATTGCTATTCATCTCAGTCCTCTTTACTAAACAATATTTGTGTTTAGAACAGGGTCATTCTGGCTTCTTTGTTGTTAATCTTCCTAAAGCTGCATATTGAAGTTTTCAGATACTGTCTGCTTTTTAGAAATCCTCTCGGACGCACAGGTTTGACTGAAAGAGGTTTGTTAGGACGATGGGGACCCAATCATGCAGCAGATCCTGTTGTTACAAGGTGACTTCACTGTACCTGAGATATATTAGTATACTAACTATAGTATACAAACTAAACTTGTGTTAATGCTTAAAATAGTTTTTCTATTTTCAGTTCTGATTGTTGACATATTCCTGTGTTTGGCAGATGGAAAGTTGATGAAAGTGGAGCGAAGCTGCATCACCCCGTGTCCAAACGGCCCATTCTGCAGTTTGTGTCCATCAAGAGGAAGGACTGCGGGGAGTGGGCAATTCCTGGGGTGGGTTTCTTATACATTCTTAACATAAATATAAAATTATATAAAGAGCTTCATGAAAATATAAATGTGACAAGGAGGTATTTTAAATAACAATTGTCTTTTTTTAAATTGTATTAATTTCCTCTTAATTCCCTAAGCATATTTATAATTTATTTTAGTAATTTTACAATGTTTACAGTGTAGCGATATTTTATTGAAATAATTAACATGTGATAACATTTAATGTCTAATTATTTCTTTGCATTTTCCCCCAATTAGTGTACAATTGTTTAATTAAAAATACTTTGTACAATTAGCAAAAAAAGGTAAACAAAAAACGTTAAGGGATGAACAGAACGGAAATGCAAAATACAGAAAATAAATATAAAAATAAATACAGACAATAAATGAATAAATGGTAATTTTGGGGGGTATCTCTTGACATATGAGTGTATTTATTTAGATTTTAGCAGGTTTAGGTAATTTCAAACTAGTTTTCCTCTTGTTTTTGAAAAATTCTTTATCACTGTGCTTTTTTGTTAGCTTTTAATTGTATCTGTTTCGTTTTCTGTGACTTATGAGTTCTTTGGGTCAACAAAAATAAATTCAAACGTCATTATGTGACAGTCTGAGCGCTTCCTGTTAGCCGTGTATACATTTTTGCTTTATTATGTTTTATTTGAGCAAAAACTAAATTATTTATGAATAATCAGTTTTCTGTTCTTTCTTCATCATGACTGCTGAAATAAATCTGCCCCTTTGTGACGTGTCTGTGTTTTGGCTACATTTAAACTGGACAAAAAGAAGTCTGGCATAATCAGACTAAATATTGAACTATTTTTAGCCAGAAATCAGTGATCATGCCGCAGAAGAGACTCCTGTGATTTAAGAGCTGTCTGCTGGTTTTGCAGGGGATGGTGGATCCAGGGGAGCAAATTTCTCAGACGTTGCAGCGAGAGTTCTCGGAGGAGGCGCTCAACTCGCTTTCAGTGGCAGCGGCAGAGAAAACAGAAATCCACAAACGTGTCACCAAACTCTTTCAGTCTGCAGGGTTCCAGGTCAGTCAGTGATGCAAAGTTTAATCTTGAGTTTAACCATCTTCCCTGTTATTTTAAAGTGATCAAATCAACTGTGTTGTATGCATCCTTAAATCATAGTGAGGAATAATAAATGTTTGAGCTTGCATACCTATTTCTTCCTCCATCTGTCTCGCCTTCAGGTGTATAAAGGCTATGTTGACGATCCAAGAAACACCGACAATGCTTGGATGGAGACAGTTGCTGTCAACTTTCATGATGAAGCAGGTATTTTCTATCTGCAATCTGCTTTACTTGATGCATCTTTACATTAATACATCTTTGAAGCTCTTGCGGGCCATATAAAATGCTGTGGCGGGCCACATTTGGCCTGTGGACCTTGAGTTTGATACATGCCTACTTTTCTTTCTAAAGTGTACTTAATGAATAAAAGTAGTCTTTTTTGATGGCCTGCATATTTCCTGCCACCTTACACAATAAAGTTTAAGTAACAAATGGTAAATGACCTGAACAGTGTAGCACTTTATCAAGTCCAAGCACTCCACAGTGCTTCACACTACAGTCAATCCCCTGTTCATGCACACATTCACACACTAATGGTTCAGAATAAATCTTGTGTGATATTTTAGTGTTAAGAATATGTGTTTGTGTCGACTCTCAGCTACTACCACACAAAATTTTAACTACGTCTCTCTAAACTTGACAGAGCTGTAGTTTATGTGCCACCTTGAATAAGGTTGACTCCAAAAGTTAATCGGTTGATGTGATTTTTGTGAGAGTTTCATTAAAATTTGTCCATCTATTCATGAGATATTTTACTTTAAGACAGACAAACAGGCATATTAATAAAAATTCAGGACACCAGATTTCTCCTAAACAATGAGTTATGTGTTGTTTTTGCAGGTGACAGCGTGAGCGAGCTGCCGCTGCAAGCTGGTGATGACGCAGGACATGTCCAGTGGGTCGACATTGACTCGTCATTCACGCTCTATGCGAGTCACTCCAGTTTCCTGCAACTGGTTGCCAAAGAAAGGAAAGCTCACTGGTAGCCAAAGAGAAAAATACCGACCTGATATTACACTCAGGCAAATGAGAGCCTTAAGATCTCTTATGTAACCTCTTATATGAACCTCCCCTCACTAATTTGTTCATGATAATCAGATGTAATACTAGAAACCTAATCTGCATTTATTAAATTAGCATTATAATGCAAGAACAAACTGTGATTCTGAGYGTAATATATGCTGCAGTTATGGCAACAGGAGAAGGATTCAAAATGAAAACAGCTGAGCCTTACTTCATCACTGGTCAATGGACTGGGTTTATTTTTCGCATTGACATGTTTTTGTCGTCAAGCTGAGTTTACAGAATCTTTGAGAATTGATGAGGATGACCAGCAAGGCTCTTCCAGGAAGAGAAGGACCTGGGCTTATTGGGCTTATTAAGTTGGAACCCTCTTTACAAGAAAAACACTAATTGAATTAGAGCCAGTCCCTGGGAGGCGCCACAAATCCAATCAGGCTGCTTTGTTTCCTTTCATTGCTTCTCAGGCTKCAGCATTTGCCTGTATGACTTGAAATTCAAGTGATAACACATTTGATCCCTGTATCGACGAGATGATTTTCAGCACACACTTTCTGTTCCTTTAGATGGCATGGAAGCTGCTTTTTATCACTATTAAAGCAACGCCTGCAGAAATACTGGTAATATTTGTTGGTAACAGAGAAAAGAATGTTTCCTGTGACACTTGAATTTCCCCTTGGTGGGACGGTAAAGGCTATTCTATTCTATTCTATTCTATTCTATTCTATTCTATTCTATTCTATT